CTAAGCAGGAGGCAGAGGCCTGAGCTCTTCCAAGGATGACAGCTGCCCCAGGGTAGACAGGAGCCCCCTCGAGTAGGAAGCATCCAAGGGGAGACTAGATGAACCTCACAACTTGATGAAATGCTCTAGAGAGGTGGTCGCCAACTGGTGGTCCGCGGACCACTGGTGGTCCGTGAGGTCCGAAAGGTTGGCGACCGCTGCTCTAGAGCAGACTGTTTAAGAGTCGGAGAAGCTGGCCGCTGGCCTCGTTTTGATGCCAGCTTACCGAATTCAGTGATTTTCAACCTTTTCCATTTCATGGCTCACATACACTCATTGCTACAATTCTGCAGCACACCAGAAAGGGTATTTTTTGCTGAACTTACAATTTTAATTCATTCACAATGTGCTTTTTTGAGAATTTAAGGGACTGAAGGGTCCCGGGTTTGAGTCCCGTTGAGAGCACATACCTGGTTTGTTTGCTTGATCCCCAGTTGGGGAGGGGGGCGTTGCAGGAGGCAGCTGATCAATGATTCTCTCTCATCTTTGATGTTCCTATCTCTCCCTTTCTTTCTGAAATCAATAAAAATATATTTTTTAAAAGGAGGTTTATGAGTTTTGATTTCTGCACAAGCAGTCTTCTCACCAAGCATTTGGATGTGTGTTCCAGAATAGCAGACAGGAGAAGAGGCGGAGGAGCGGGGAAGGGACAGTTTTGCCGCCATCATGCAGCGAAGCATCATGTAAGGAAACCTCGTCCCCCTTCTCGCCTTAAACTCCCCGAGTCTCTGCTTGTCTCTGCAACTCTGCCTTTTCTTAGAAAAACTCAGGCTGGCATTTTCCAGAAGTTGATCAGTATGGAAAACGGGGAGTGAGTTAACTAAAACATGTTAGGTGCAGGGTTCGGAAAGCCTAACAGGTGGCGCTCAGGCCCCGGCAGTTTCGCCTTCCACATCTGGCAGTGTTTGTGGTTGTCACAGCTGGGTGAGAGGGGTAAAGGCCGGGCTGCTGCTAAACATCCTGATGCAGCAGAGAATGGTCTGGCCTGTCGCGCAGGCATGCCGAGGCAGGGCTCAGGAAAAGCAGAAAGGGGATCACCTGGCTGTGGTTGGAACCTTCTGGAGTTAACAGTTGGATCTTGTTGCCATAGCCTTGCCCCTGGGAATCGGTCTCTCCGTGTTCCAGCTCTGCTTGCTCTCAGGTTGCGTCGTGTTGGCAGGTCCTCTTCCTGGGGCTCTGGCACCAGAGAGAGTTAGCAGTCCCAGGGGGAAGAGGCTGCCCCCTCCCAGCTGTTCCAACAGTGTCTAGGCCAGCTGTGGGCAAACTACGGGCCCGCGGGCTGGATCCGGCCCGTTTGAAATGAATAAAACTAAAAAAAAAAAAAAAAGACCGTACCCTTTTATGTAATGATGTTTACTTTGAATTTATATTAGTTCACACAAACACTCCATCCATGCTTTTGTTCCGGCCCTCCAGTCCAGTTTAAGAACCCATTGTGGCCCTCGAGTCAAAAAGTTTGCCCACCCCTGGTCTAGGCTCTTATTTCATTGGCCCAGCTTAGACCCCATGCTGGGCCCTGATCTGGCCACAGGGATGCAGGGCTCTGATTGGCCGGGCCTTGGGGCATATACCCGCCTCGGTCATGGGTGAAAGGACAGGCCTATATGCAAATCTCAGGCACTGAGAGAATTGGGGGAAGAGGCCTCCCAAGAGAAAAGTGGAGGGCTGCTACCAGGCGCTCGACAGACCCCGACCTCACATCCACCACACAGACCTGGGAGAGGGTGGCTCAGACAGACCTCAGGCTGGATTTTCCCACGTGATGAGGAATCTGGGGCGAATCTGTCCTTGGCGTATACTAAGTGCTTAGTTAATGCTTGTTGAGTGACAGTGGGGATGTGGCATGTCAGGTGGAGTTAGGGCAGAAAAACAAGCAGAGGGCTGCCTCCTCATCTGGGCTTCAGTTTCCTTATCAGAAGGGGGTTGTTTGGAATCTCCTGTTACATGTGAGGATGGGAACTGGCGTCTGGCGTCGGAAGCTGTCGAGGACATCACGGGTCGGGGGAGTTATTGGTGCTGTTTTCATTCCCGTTCTCCCCCTCCTGTGCTCCTCCAGGTCGTTTTTCCACCCCACGAAAGAGGGCAAAGCAAAGAAGCCGGAGGAGACACCCAGCAGCGCCAGGGAGACCGAGCCCCCTCCAAAGCACGTAACGGGCCGGGGATGTGGTGGATCTGTTCCTATTCCCGTTCTGACTGTTGGCGGCAAGTGTTAGAAACTCGGCTCAGGCTATCTCAGGATCTCAAAGGGAATTTTTGACTTTAATAACTGGAAGTCCAAAGCGTATGTCCAGCTTCAGGCACAGCTGTATCCAGGGCCTCAGGGCTGTCTTCAGGGCTCTGTTTCATGTCTCAGGAGCAGCGGTCGCCAACCTTTCAGCCCTCACGGACCACCGATTTGGAGCAGCGGCTGCCAACCAGCGGTCTGGAGCATGCTTTTTTGAGAATTTAAGGGAAAAGAGGTCAGTGCCCCTTGTGCTGCACCAGCACTGCCAAGGGTGAACCCAAGTGGGGGCGGTACAGGCTATCTCAGGATCTCAAAGGGAATTTTTGACTTTAATAACTGGAAGTCCAAAGCGTATGTCCAGCTTCAGGCACAGCTGTATCCAGGGCCTCAGAGCTGTCTTCAGGGCTCTGTTTCATGTCTCAGGACAGACAAGAGAATGAAAGCTGGGTCTCCGTGGGGCGCTGTCCTCTCCGGTGGAGAGAGGCAGTGACAGCGCCCACAAGCCGTGTCTTTATTTTATAGCAGATGCCACGAGGCAAAGTAAGGGCATGATCAAGATGTTTACAACATTCTCGTGGGTTTCAATCCCACTCAACTACATGCACCTGAACTCTATCAAGCCCACATCGCTCAGGCACGTGGGGCCACGTGTTCGGACCATAGGTTCAAGCTTACAGCTATAGCTGTTGGCTATAGTTGTGCTGGGAGGGCTCTGCCTTCCAAGCTGGGACTTGCACGTGGCCATGAGAGGACTGTGCCCTCTCCTCAGTCCAAGGCTTGAACCTGTCCAAAACCCTGGAGCCGCACCCCACAGCCCCTGACGAGTCAGGTGCTGCATGTTTTAAAAAATTTTGCAGCACATCAGTGTGCCTTTCGTGGCACACTGGTTGATAATTGCTGATCTAAGAAGAGAGCACATGCCAGAAGCATAATAAGTGGAACAACAAATTGATGTTTCTCTCTCTTCCCCTGCCTCTCTCTCTCAAATCAATAATAATTAAAAAAGGGTATGTGCTTAGGAGGCCCTAGATGTTCATTGATGGTTGAAAGGAAAGGAAGGAGGCAGACATGGTGAAGGGGCTGGAGTGTTTGGCCCACTCTGCCAGCCAGACACCCCCTTTCCCCCCCGTCTAGGGTGGCGCTGAAGGAGCGGAACGGAGTGGTGCCTGAGAGCGACTCTCCGGTGAAGAGGTCGGGCAGGAAGACGGCCCGGGTCCTGTGCAGTGAAGGGGAGGAGGAGGAGGACGATGAAGCCATCACGTCCTCCAAAGGCCAGGTAGGTCCCCGTCAACCTGCCCACGTTTACGGGAGCAACCCTAATTCCCATTAGCCTTCGGAACCGAGTGCAGCAGCTGCTCAGGGGGGCTCTGGAGACATGCCCCAGGACGGGGAGTGTTTTGTGGTCGTGCCCTGGAGCCGGCGGGCAGGCAGGTCTCCACAGTCCTAAGTCCGCCTCAGTTTTGGGACCTGGGGCAGGCCCCCCGACCTTGGTGCGCCTCACCTGTGACATGCAGCTCATGGTGGCACCTGCCTCTCAGGGTGGCTGTGAAGAGGATGGGCGTCAGTTCACATACGGATCTGAGAATAATGCCTAGAAAATGTCCGTTGGTGGCTGAAAGGAAAGGAAGGGCCCAAAGATACGTAGTCTCTCCTGTTATCACAGCTTGTCGTCTGCTCTACACTTTGGGTCATTTCCTTCCCGTTGAAAGTAATTTAATGCCTGCCCTGGCCGGGGTGCGGTCAGTGGTTAGAGCGTCAGCCCGAGCACCAAAGGGTCTCAGGTTCAATTCCTGGTTAATTCCTGGGTTGCAGGTTTGATCCCCTGCCCTGGTCGGGGCATGTGCAGGAGGCAACCAATTGATGTATCTCTCTCACATCCATGTTTCTCTCTCTTTCTTTCTTTTTCCCCCTCCCTCCCTTATGGGGCGTGGCTACAGTGTTTTGGCTAGGATCAAGCCTCGGACTAATGAAAGGACAGGGTCCTCTCATTGCCACGCGCAAGTCCCAGCTGGCGGGCAGGGTCCTCCCAGCACAATTATAGCCAAGGGCTGGGGTTGTGAGCTTGAACCTATGGTCCGAACACGTAGCCCCAGGTGCCTTGTGGTAGAGTTCAGGTGCATGTAGTTGAGGGATTGGAACCCAGGAGAATGCTGTAAACAACGGGATCACGCCCCTGCCTGGCCTCGTGGCATCTGCTATAAAATAAAGACACGGCTTGTGGGCGCCGGCGCTGTCTCCTCGTCAGGGAGCAGCGTCCCACCGAGACCCAGCTTTCATTCTCTTATCTCTTTCCTTAATCCTTTCACCCCCCCTCCTCAGTTCACCTTTGGCCGCAACACTCCCTTCATTCCACTCTCTAAAAATCAATGGAAAAATATCCTCGGATGAGGACTAACAACCACAGAATCACATAAACGTATTATGTCGCAGTTCTGGAGGTCGGGGGCCCGACGCGGGTCTCATGGGGCTGAAGTCGGTGTCGGCAGGGCTGCGTTTCTGGGATACGAGGAGAGACTCATCTCCCTGCCCTTTCCAGCTTCTAACGGCCCCCTTCTCTCTCTGTGCAAACACAGCAGCGCTGCCCTTCTGTAACCACGGTTCTCTCCTGCCTCCCTCTTGTACTCTGGCTCCCGTGATTGCATTGGGCCCCGCGGATGACCCAGGATCATGTCCTTCTCTCAGGGCCGCTGCTTAACAGCCTTACTTGCCCTGCAGCCTGGGTTGCCCTTTGCGGTGCCTCCAAACACTCAGATCCCGGGGATTCGGACAGGGACCTCGTTAGGAGCTCGGACTTGGCCCCGAGGCTGCGAGGCCGCTGAGGAAGGGTTTGAGCAGGAGAGGGGAGAGGCGGCCTTGGCTCCTGGGCTCCCTGTGGGGCCTGTGGAGCTGACATTCAGACCTTTGTGGTGCAGATGCGGGCTGGTGGGTGCTGGGCCTCTGGGTTTGGAGGAGCTGCCTTGGGGCCTGGGGCTCAGACCTTTGAGGAAGGGGCACTGGGCAGAGGCTGCCAGTCTCCGTGGGACACCAGGCAGCAGGCCCTGCGAGTGTTGGAAGAACTGGAAGTTGGATCCTCTAGCACCTTGTGCTGACATTCCTGACACAGAGCAGGAAAGGGGGAGCGGATGGGAGCTGAGGGGCAGTCGCTTAATCACTGGCACAGGGCCCTGTATGAAGATGAGTTAGTAGTTGAAACCAGGACACAAATAACAGTGGCTTAAGTAAGGTAGGGCACGCTCTCCCTCTCCCTCTCCCTCTCCCTCTCCCTCGCACAAAAGTCCTGGATTGGTGTGGGAGTCTCTGAGTCGGGTGCTCTTGTCCAAGGGAATATCCACGCTGGGAAGAGGGCACCCCCCTGTCCACTGATGAATGCTGTTGGGACCGAGGGAAGCGAGCGTTAGTTCCCCTTACCTTGCATTGTGTAGAACTGAGGGGCATGGCCACACTAGCCGCAAGGGAGGCTGGGAAGTGTAGTCTTTAGTTGGGTCACCACATGCCTACCTAAAAATCAAAGATTTTCTCTTTAGAAAAAAGAGTTGTTATTGGTGGCCAGGAGAACCTGGGACCATGAACTCTACATGGTTGGTGGAGTGAGGGCCCCTGTGAGAGGGGCCGCGGCCTGAGCTGGGACTGTGGCATGGAGAGGAGGAGTGTGAGCAGCTACTTGTGGGGAGCCGCTACAGTGTTTTGGACAGGTTCAAGCCTTGGATTGATGAGAGGGCACAGTCCTCTCATTGCCATGTGCAAGTCCCAGCTTGGAGGGCAGGGCCCTCCCAGCACAATTATAGCCAACAGCTATACTTGTAAGCTTGAACCTATGGTCCGAACACGTGGCTCTATGTGCCTGAGTGATGTGGGCTTGATAGAGTTCAGGTGCATGTAATCGAGTAGGATCGAAACCCATGAGAATGTTGTAAACATCTTGACCACGCCCTTACTTTGCCTCGTGGAAACTGGCTATAAAATAAAGACACGGCTGGTAGTCCGAGGTGCTGTCTCTCTCCATCTGAGAGGGCAGCGTCCTACCGAGACCCAGCTTTCTTGTCTTTCTTTTCTAACCCTTCACCGCCCCTTCCCGGGGTCACCAAACCTGGCTGAGCTGGCGCGGCACATGCCTCTCAGGGTCACCGAACCTGGCTGAGCTGGTGGGGCACATGAGGCGCCCCATCTGGGGCTGAGTATGCCATGGCCTTGCCTGCCCTGGCGCGGCACATGAGGCGCCCAATCTGGGGCTGAGTATGCCAGGGCCATGCCCGCCTGCCACAGGGGAGAGACACAGAGTCCCTCTCTGCTCTCAACTGTTGGGGAATGAGATAGCTCGGCGCTCTCTCTCCTCCCCCTACCCTCCTCTGTAATTGCTCTTCCTTTCTTCTTCCAGAAGCCTGCCCCCAGCTCTCCACAAGTGTCCCCTCCCGCTCCTGTCACGTCCCCTGAGAGCAGCCCGTCCCTCGCCGGCACCTCTCCGGCAGCGACCATCTCCCCGTCGGGGATCCCGAAGCGGCTCACAGGTAAGGACACACGGCCCTGTCCTGTCGGTTGCTTGTCCTTGTCCCCAGTTGGGTTTCAGCACCAGGCAGCCGTCCTCATGACAGCTCAGCTTGGCCTTGTGGTTAGGAGCACAGCTCCACCACCCACTGGCTGTGGGACTGGGCAGATGGCTTCATTCACCTGTTTTTGTCCCTCTTTTCAGTGTAGATACTAGAAGATTTAAGATGATTGTGTGGCTCGCATGTATTTTCATTAGATGATGTGGTATAAGGAATAATAGTGGTGACGCGGGCTGTGGGAGCGCAGAGCTGAGCCCGCCCGGAGGAGGTGACCCGGAAGATGGTTAGGGTTCGCTGTGCTGGGAAAGGGCGATGGGAAGGGTTGCAGCCGAGAACAGCGCGTGCAGAGGCCAAGAGGTAGAACAGCCTGGTGTGTTTGGGGCGTCCATACGCTTCAGCGTTCCTGGAGAATACAGTGCAATTTGGAGAGCGGGGAGAGTCTGGGGACGAGTGGGGAGAGGTGAGCTTAGGAGGAGAGTGGGGGGCTGGCTCCTGGGGGGCCCTGCACGTGAGGCTGGGGAGCCGGGCTTTAGCCTGCGGTGCTGGGGAGCCATGCGGGCGCTGCGAGCTGACGGCTGGTCAGGCCTGCGGGAGAGGTCGTCCTAATAACATAACTGAGCGGCTTGGGGTGTGTCAGGGATTCATTTTAGAGGAAGTGACACCTGAGCTTTGTCCCAAAGGGCTGGGCCACGAGCTCAACAGCACGTGCAAAAGCCCAGAGGTGACAGTGGAGTGTTTGGGAATGACAGCCATTCAGTGATGTTGGTAAAGAAAGTGGATTGTGTGGCATGGGAGTTAGGGGGTCAGGTGGAGAGAAGGTAGGGAGGATGGGAGGACAGAGTGGACACTGAAAGGCTTTGTCCCGGAGTGGGGGGCGGGGAATGTGGGAAGCTTTTGAGCAGGGCAGGGACAGTTCCCGCCACAGTCGCTGAAGGTCCCTATGGGGTCATGGGAAGAAGCCCAGAGACCAGGGAGAAGGTGAGAATTGATGAAAGTCATTACAGCTGCCTTTTCTTCGCCATGTGATCTCAGTTTGGCATCTTCTAGAAACAGGCTCTGAAACTTTGTGACAAGGATTCAGTGCAGACCATTTCTTGGGGAGGTGGGAGGTGCAGAGAAGACAGTGATCTAGGGCTTTTGAGCAGGGCAGGGACAGTTCCCGCCACAGCCGCTGAAGGTCCCTCTGGGGTCATGAGAAGAAGCCAGGAGACCAGGGAGACGGTGAGAATTGATGAGAATCATTACAGCTGCCTTTTCTTCACCATGTGATCTCAATTTGGCATCTTCTAGAACAGGGGTGGGCAAACTTTTTGACTCGAGGGCCACAATGGGTTCTTAAACTGGACCGGAGGGCCGGAACAAAAGCATGGATGGAGTGTTTGTGTGAACTAATATAAATTCAAAGTAAACATCATTACATAAAAGGGTACCCTATGGGGTCATGGGAAGAAGCCCAGAGACCAGGGAGAAGGTGAGAATTGATGAAAGTCATTACAGCTGCCTTTTCTTCGCCATGTGATCTCAGTTTGGCATCTTCTAGAAACAGGCTCTGAAACTTTGTGACAAGGATTCAGTGCAGACCATTTCTTGGGGAGGTGGGAGGTGCAGAGAAGACAGTGATCTAGGGAAGGGGAGTCGGCCCATAACAGATGTGTTCTTGGGTCGCCTCCCCCCGGCCCCCCCAGGGTGCTGCAGCTTCATTCTCTGGGGAAGTGCTGGGAATTGGCCTAAATGTGCAGAATGATCTGCCGGAAGTGCGGGGAGCTGGGTGCTTATACACCAGCACCGTTAGTCTCTGGTGAGGGAACTCCCAGGGTCTGGTGATTCCTGGTGCATCGGGCTCCTGAGGTCCTGGAAAATATGACCAGGACACACGGAGATGGTCAGCTCCTGGGGATGCGGGCACGGAGCGCGCTGGCTGCAGTTGGGACTGGCTGAGCCCGTTGCAGCCTGGCTTAATTTTGGGGATTATTTCCGTCCTGCGGATGTGGGAGAGGGAGGCCCAGAGAGAGTAAGTAACTGCTCACCATCATGCAGCCAGGAGGCAGCGGAGCTCCAGGGGCAAGGCTCGCCCTGGGCAGTAGCTGTGGGCAGGAGGAGAAGGGGGGCCCCAGGGCCTTTCAGGAGCCCCATCACAAGGGAGTCGGGGTGCGCGTGGTGCCGAGTTCTCCGGGCCAGCGAGTCGGCCACACCTCAGCCTTTGCCTTCCCAGCTCGAAAGCAGTTTTCTAAACGGAAGATTCAGGATGTCCTAGAAGAGCACGGCACGGACAAGGGCCAGGAAGCCAAGAGGAAGAAGGCGGAGGAAGGTGAGGCACCGGGAGGGGGGTGTGTGCGCACCTGTCTGTCTGTGTGTCTGACTGCACAGAGGAAGGTCTGTAAGGACGTGGCCGATCTGGGAGGACAAGGTGTTAGGACCCCACTGATTTGATGCCTGTGTCCATGAAGCTAAATACGCCCGTCAGCCCTCACACCAATATGGGGCTTTATCAGGAGAGCATTTTGGAATATAGTCACTTGGCTGTCTCAGTGTAGTTTCCATACACGGTTTCCCACTTTTTATCGTTACTTTTTGGAAATACGTTCCTCTAAATGATCCCCTTTTCCCTTGTAAAGTTTACCAGGAAGCAGAGGCTCCCACGTTTTCCCAGACCCCGCGTTGTCTCAGTCATGTTTCCATGGTGCCCGCGGCCGGTACCAGACCAGTTCTGTGTACTAAGCAGTGGATATCCAACCACTGTTTATGTTCTAGGAGCTCGGGCACTTGAGGAAAATAACACACATACGTGGAGAGGAAAATTAATATTTCTGTTTTATTCTTAAGTAGTCACAGTGGTTTATCATAGGGTGCCTCCTGGGCCCTGCACCGCTTCTCAGACTGGAATCCAGTTGCAGGCTGCCACCCTCATTCCCTGTTTCCTGCCCCGTGCTGATCTGTGCAGTGCTTGGTTTTTATCAGCAACTAGTGAAAACCAGCTTTGCAAAAAATGTAACATCAGAAACTGCAAGGAACGTGACCCGATACTGAAAACTAAAGGACCTTGACGTAGCAGTTCATAAGTGTGGGGCCCAAGTCCCCAGTTTCCGTTGCAAGTGTCAGGTGTCCTGCGGTACCCTGTGAGTTCCTGCATCTTGGTGACGGGGGAGCTGCAGTGATAAAGGTCTGATTGATCAATCGATCGATCGATCCTTTGGGGCCTGAGATTAGACCAGCTGCAGCCTTTGCCACTGTCGGTTTGTTCAATAAAAGGTCTTTATTAAGCTCATCTTTCCCAGGGGAGATTGCATTTCCTGTTGGCAATTTTTAGTCAGTAATGAATCTTACTATTAATTAATTATCAGTGTCTGGGGATGTGGGGGTGGGTGGCTTTTTCTACTAAGATAAATTTTTCCCAAGTTTATACAACTTTCATTGTTTCCCTGATAGGATTTTTTTCAGTCAGTTTAATTTTTTTATTATAATCTGTAACAAGTTATCACATGCAACTCCTATTCTGTGGTAACTAATTCTAAAATAATTGTTTATAAGAAAAGACTGGCCTTGCTCACCTGCACAGGTGAACACGGGATTGGCTTCCCTCGGGGTCCCCCCCACCCCGTCCCTGTACAGCAGGCATGTCAAACTCAAAGGCTAACGGGCCAAGTAAACGAGGCATGCGGCCTGTGGGCCGCGAGGTTGACATGCTTACTTTTTAAACAATTGAT